ATGTATGTATGTATGTATGTCTTTATATGCTTGTATATATGTATATATATATATATATATATTTATATATCTGTGTGTGTGTGTGTGTGTGTACGTAATAAAAGTATATACGTATATATTATGTATGCTTATACAATTACACACACGCATATATATATATATATATATATATATATCTTCATTGGTGTTTTGTTGGTGTATTTGTGTGAACAATCATGATCAAGTATAGTGGACGCCAACAACACATAGTTCCTAGCAAGGATCGGGTTTTATTGCTTAAATTTATTTTATTTTCAATTCGAAAGTAGGAGCTAAATTTTCAAGCGCATATTTGTTATACGGGGCTCCCCTATTGTTCGATTCATCACCATGTATAAACCTCAAGAAAACCTCTTTTCAAAAATATCACAGGGCATTGACAAAAAGAACTCGTGTTGCAACGAGGAGACTAGATTGCCCCCGGGACATGTGTGTAGCAACGGCATTGTGCTCACGGATGCTGTAAAGGTGTGTGAGAGTGTATCTCCGCAGAACTGTGTTTCAACTTCCTTGAATGTGGCATAGTAGTTCATGTACACTCGATGAGCGATGCTGCTGATTTGTGGTGTAGTCCCGTTGTACAGTATTCGTATAAGAGTATCGCATGCCATCTTATGAAAGGCACTGCGGTTTCATGGACGTGCTCATACCCCCACAGTATATTTAGATGCTGATAGCTCTGGCAATTCTATTTGTCATTACCTTATTATTAAAGTACGAAGGAGGTGCGCTAGGTTTGGATTGTTGAGAGCACTATCTGATGGTTCCATTCCAACTCTTAGAACTGTATTTAAAAACATTGATCTGGTGGTATAGGTAGGCAGCACAAATTTTTAGATACACGTGCTACTCTCTCAACGTGGTGCAGGATCACGTTACGACTGGTAATTACATCTGTAACGGTCTAGAGATGGATGTTTCGTTTACCGACATCAACGAGGATGGGAACTGGTTTGTTCTAAGCATGGGCTGCACAGACAACCCTGTGCACAGCATATTCGTATTCAAAAGCAGTTATGGATTCCTCCCAGCGGACCAGTATCCATTGCTTCTGGTATGTCTACATCTGAAACATTCTCCGTGTTACTCGCCGGGTAGTGACCGTTTCCGGTATCACTTGGAAGCTCGTGTACGTTCTTACCTCTGCAAAATATGTGGTGCTAGAATGTGCCACCAGTGTAGTGATTCGTTGTTTTCTTTCGCATCCTGGGCATGAGTTGCGCTGTGTGCAAGATCTAAAATCCGATCTCATATCCTGGCCACGAGTTGTGTTGCGTGGTGTATTCAAGTCCATCATGTATCGACAATTTACTCTTGATTTATCACATTGCCTCCCTCGTTCTTGGATCTCCACATCACGTAGTTTGTTCTGTACGCGAGTATATAGTACATGTTCGACTCATTTGTTTTTTTTTGCACACCCACAGTTCCATGGGATAATGTCGCTGGTCTACTTCTGCATCGCGGCCGTTTGGCTGACTCTCACCATTCTGTATTGGAGAGACCTACTCAAATTGCAGTACTGGATCAGCGCCGTTATCGTTATGAGGTTGGTAGAGATACTGAGACTGTTGCTGTAGTATTACATTGTTGGTGGGTGTCTACAAATTTTTCACATTTGGGCATCCGTAGACTAATTCAAGCTTTGCAATGCTATATTCGCTGTCACGGAAAATGTTGTTTAGTTCAAGTAGCGAACGTGATCAACTTGTGAGATTCAAATCACACCATTGTATGCGCTATTCGTATGATAGTTTCATCGAAGACAATGCATTGCTGAAGTGCTCCTTGACTTTTACATAAGATTTGTCTTTGTCGGAAGTTAGCGTGTGAACTTGCGCGGCTTGTTGTGGACCACTTTCCCAATATATTGGACGGGCGCACTGATCACCTTGCATTGTTTGTACCACAGTATGTTGGAGATGGCTATGTTCTACGGATGGTACGAGCACTCCAACCTTACGGGGCAGACCTCTCAGTTTCTTCTGGGGACGGCGGTATTTGTCATGGTGGCGACCCTTACACTCGCTCGTATGCTGGTAAGTATCACACTCAACTCTAGCAGGCAGCTTTACTTGGTACACTACTGTCGTTAGGGCTAGTCATTCGATTTTTAAAACGATGGATAGAGCTTTCTATATTTAACTATATTCATACATTTCTATATTTATATATACATCTGTATGTATATGTATATATGTACATGTATATATATGTTTATGTATATGTATATATCTATTTATATATATATATATATTATATATTATATATATTATATTATATTA